TACCTTTATCTCCCCGTACACCGTTGGGGTTAAATTGGCCTTTATTCCACAATAATTATATAAGCTCTCCCAACAACAGTTACACTGGGTCTTGTGATCGAAATTGACCAATTGGAAGGTAACACAAGGTCACGGTATCGCAGGATCTCGAATCAGGTACGTACAATGACGTTGATCACAAACGTAATCAGGGGATGATTTTCAATATATAAAGACTTGTATTACTAATACAAAGCCTCTTTCTCACTAAATACGACAAACAATGTGCAAAAGTCACAGGAGCAAGATAATACGAATCAACGAACGATTTTTCAACAATCAGGGTACAACAATTTGTAAGCAAATACTTCTACTCTTATTTCGAAGTTTTGGAACTCTGGGAGTTGTTCCTTATTCAAGGTAATTTTCGTTACTTATATACATTATTTTTTAAACTAAGAATCGTTACTTATCTTTCTTTTCTATTTTATAATTCTTTTCGCAACTATAATTTCTATAATTCTTTTCATAACTATAATAATTATAATTCTTTTTAAATCTTTTCATTATTATAATTTTTATAAATCTTTTCGTAAATACATTTTCATACAAATAATTCAAATACTACTAAAAATAAAAAAAAAATAAAAAAAAAATAAATCGACTACTGTATTATGTCAGCTAGTAACAACCTGGGAAGGAAAATTTTAACTGTTACAACGTACTATACATCACACTGTACATACTGTATATGAGAAATGTTGCTGATCATTTATATGTGGTCTGTTTTATGTTAATTAATTAGGCAGCTGCGCGATGTAGTTGCACTAAAACCAGGAACAGGAAGTTATTTGGGATTAAGAAATATGTTTAATTATAATATATATATAAAAAATAATAAAAAGAAATTTTTTAGTCATTGCTTTAAAAATTTAGTATAATTATAGTATTATTGACAGCCATTTCATTGATAAAGCTTGGGTGATAAGATTGGCTGATAAATAGTTAGTGTTTGGTTAAACTTTAACATGTATCTGTATAGCTTAGTCAATGAGCATTTTTTGCGAATAACGAACAATCTATACTAATAGTTAACACTGTGAAGATTTATTTGTCTGTTTTCTATATTTTATGATTTCAATGACAGGTAAAGTTATAATTTAAAAAATGAATGGGTAAGTTAGTGATTTGCAATGATGGGCGATTAACAATTTTAATGGTAGATAGAATAATAATTTTAACAATGGGCGTTGGGTGAGTAATTTGAATAGCGAGTAAGTTTATTATTTCAACAGTAGATCGGTTAGTTAATTTTAGCAGTAAGTAAATTAGTAATTTAAATAAGTAAGTCAAAGATTTTAGCAATAGGTGGATTCAGATTTTGTAATATAATTCATGAACTAGCAGAGATTTTAACAGTGGATGATCGTTTAGTAATACTGATCATAGCTTTGGGTTATGATTTTAATAGTGGGTGAAGAATATACAAGATGTGACAACTATGATCATGCTGACAAATCAGGTATTAGATTTTGGTACGCACATAATTTCTTTCTCAAATAAGCCATACACATTGTGATATTCATTACTTCGTTCCTGGTATTAAATATTTTGCCGCAGATCTATTTCTAATTATATACTGTATGTACAGTACGTACTGTACATACTGTATGCGAAAAAAATTAGGCTATCATATAAATGGCACATCACTATTTGTCTCTCATTGAGGAGGTGTTATTAAAAAAACTATGGAATACAATTATGTGTTATCTGTTTCTTCTGCTTTGTGCTATAGTATATCTATTAACAATGTAGACTTCAAAAGTATCATATAAAACAATCTATATTACTGTAAACTATGTATGCTACTATGGTGATAATATCGGCGGGCGGGAAAAAAAAACCAGAATTATGCTGGAAAAAACCTCGCCGCAACCAAAATCTTTTGTGACTGTCGTCTTGACAGGCTACTTTCTACTACTAAACTCAAAATAATTGTAACTGTCGTCCCGACAGACCACTTACTAATACTCAAGATTCGACTGTTGTCTGACAGACCAAATCCAACTAATATTCACTAAGCAATGACTATTCACTCGTTACGCTCTTTCCATCCACCAATACCTACCCGAGCGTAATGTGTACGAATACTCAAATACAATAACAATTCTGTGACTGCTGTCCTGACAGTTCACTTGTTAAATAAACCTAAGATTCAAACTATGGTGCTAAAGCTCGCTCCAAGCGTAATAGCACAATATGTAAAAACTTTTGTAACTAGCATCCCTTCTGAAAACTTAAGATTTGACTGTCATCTGACAGGCCAAATCCCACTGATATTCAAAAATATATAAAAACGTTTGTGACTGTTATTCTGACAGGCCACTCACTAAAAGATCAAAATTCAACTGTTGTCCAACTGACTGAAGTTTACTATGGCAATGACTATTAATTCATTACGCTTTATCCATCAAACAATACCTACCCGAGTGTAATGTGCACAAATATGTGAAAACTTTTGTGACTGTCATCCCGACAGGCCACTTTTGAAAACTTAAGATTTGACTGTTATCCGACAGGCCAAATCCAACTGATATTCAACAGATATAAAAATATTTGTAACTGTCATCCTGACAGGCCACTCACTAAAAGTTCAAAATTTGACTATTGTCCAACCAACTGATGTTCACTAAGCAACGACTATTAATTCATTATACTCTATCCATCAAAAACAATACCTACCTGAGCATAATGGCACAATATGTGAAAACTTTAGTAACTGTCATCCCAACAGGCCACTTTCTGAAAACTTAAGATTTGACTGTCGTCCAACAGGCCAAATCCCACTGATATTCAAAATACATAAAAATGTTTGTGCCTGTCATTCTAACAGGCCACTCATTAAAAGATCAAAATTTGATTATTGCCCAACTAAACTGATGTTCACTAAGACAATGACTATTAATTTATTACGCTCTATTCATCAAAAACAATGCCTACCTAAGCGTAATGTGCACTAATATGTGAAAACTTTTGTGACTGTCATCCTGACAGGCCACTTTCTGAGAACTTAAGATTTGACTGTCGTCCGACAGGCCATATCCCACTAATATTCAAATATATAAAAAAAACTTTTGTGACTGTTGTCCTGACAAGCCACTTACTAAAAAATCAAAATCTGACTATTGTCCAACAGGTCAAATCCAATTGATGTTCACCAAGACAATGACTAATAATTCATTACGCTCTATCACTCAAAACCAATACCAACCCGAGCGTAATAACACCAATATGTGAAAATTTTTGTAACTGTCAATCCAACAGGCCACTTTCTGAAAACTTAAGATTTGACTGTTGTCAGATAGGCAAAATCCCACTGACATTCAAAATATATAAAAAATTTTTGTGACTGTCGTTCTAACAGGCCACTCACTAAATTTCAAAATTTGACTATTGTCCATCAAACCAAATCTAACTGATGTTCACTAAAACAACAACTACTAATTCATTATGCTCTATCCATCAAAAACAATACCTATCTGAGCGCAATGTACGTGAAAACTTTTGTGACTGTCGTCCTGGCAGGCCACTTCCTAAAAACTTAAGCTTTGACTATCATCTGATAGGCCAAATCCCACTGATATTCAAAATATATAAGAAAAAACTTTTGCGACTGTACTTCAACAAATCACTCACTAAAAATCAAAATTTGACTGAACGTAATATCCCAATATGTAAAAACTTTGTGACTGTCATTGCTTCCTGCAAACTTAAGATTTGATTGTTGCCTGACAGACCAAATCACTGTGACATTCACTAAGACAACAACCATCAAAATCTTTTCAATAACCACTATGTGTAATACATACAAATATGATAGTTCCTTGTGATCGTTGTTTTGACAGATCATTACTGAACACTTGATCATTCACTAAATCCTTAAGATGTGATTGCCATTCAACAGACTGAATCCTACTAATATTCCTAAAGCAATGTCCATATCCTCTGTGCATCAACTTATAAAAATTTTCTGACCACTGACCATTAATTCACTATGTTCAAAATCTAAAATTTAACCTTATCCAACAATCCAAATCTTTCCAAAAGCCATCAAATGTACTATATACAAATGTAATAATTCCTTGATTGTCGTTCAACAAACTGAATCTTACTAATATTTCTAAAATGATGTCTGTATCTTGCCATACATCAACTTATAAAAAATTTTCTGACAAAACACTACGTCTCTAGGGCCCATATGAGGGTGTGTAGGGTGGGACGAAAAAACCAGACAAAGTCAGGTTAGCAGAAAAAACAGAAACTAACTTGTCTAGAACAAATTCCATCCTCTTAAATATGCTTTCATCAAGATACCTCATCATTACATAACCACTACAACGAGCTCAACAATTACAAATTGAAAATACTACATCACTTTGTCATTACATTTTGCATAATCTATACTAATCATTCAATCAATCATGCAATCAATTATAACCCAAATCTTTGATCAATTTACACTCTGTGTTCGATTCGTGACAAAAGGCTGCTCCGATACTTTTGTATCAGGCAGCTTCATTTATATCACACATGAAATTTAGACGAAATCTATGTTTTTGAAACTTACGCAAATTACATGAATGTAATGTAATTTACAACCCTAGCTGTATTGAAAATATTTAGGATCTGATTTTTAAATAAAAATAAAGCTGCAAGATAATTTATACTGCAATCTAAAGCAAAAACTGAAGGCTAAAATGCACGTTATAATCTAAATTGACTGCTACAACTTTGTATTATTTATTTTAATAGCGGTAATTATTATAACTGATAAGCATATATTATTGGACAAATGACAAAAAATTTCCTGTTATTTGTCATACTGTACATATGTTCAATAATGATGTTATCTGATAGTTAATATGACTATGTGAAGTTTTTACTGATATTTTTCAAAACTGATTATGTAATTTCATGCAAAAAATATCATGACAAAAAATTTTCATGTTATTTATTAGCTTATCTGACAATTCTCAAATATCGAAGTTATCTACTAAAGCGTCAACATCAAATTTGTTTTTAGCAAATTTAGAATCAGTGCTATAACTATCTAGGTTGTATTAGCGAATCACTCTTGATAGAAAATTTATTATTTCCAGTTTTTCTTCTAATATAAAAAGTCTCCAGTCAGTCTCTTCCAGACATTGTTGCATATATAATTTCATCTAAATTTTTTTTGTCGCAATTCATCTAATTCTAAACCTAATGTTGTAACGTACATAATCTTTTACTTTCCTTTTTAGATAATTCCACACCTTTTTTTGTGGTTGTCCGGTTGTAACGGTAATCGAAAAATAATAAAAAATTTATGAATCGAATTTATTTACTATCGTTATATATTTTTTTTAATTTATTACATATATCATTTAATACCATTATACAGTCAACTCTGTCTATAACAAACTGACAGTTCTTCTGAAAGAAAAAAAATGTTTGCATATAGAAAATATTAAATTTTGAGTTCATTATATTCAGAGTTTGTTATATATATCCAGAGTCGACTGTATTTTTAATATCACTATACAGTCAACTCTAGATATAACAACTACTATATAATGAACTCTGGATATAATGAACTCAAAATTTTAAAATTTTTATATTAGTGTGGTATAGAAAGTGCAATGTGTTCTTAAGAAAATATAGTATTTTCTATATGCGAACATTTTTTTCTTTCAGAACTGTCAGTTCGTTATAGACAGGTTGACTGTATTAATCAATAACATATCGATTTATACTTTGTTATTTCCGATACTGATTATTAATTGTGGACAAGTTTTAGCTTTAGTCAATATCACTTGCAAATTTCTGTAGAAATTATGTTGTAATATTTTATACGGCATGTAAAGGCGACGAACCAAGTATCACCCTAAAGATCGATTACGTAAGTAGATACTTAAATTAGTTTTTTATCTCATATATTACACATGCCATATCTATGTTGTACATCAGAATGGAATTATTGTGAAATTAGAATCCACCTAGATTGATTCCGAATAAACGTAAGTTGTAATAGAATTCTAAAATGTGCTTGAGTTGTTAAAGAATTCCAATTCAACTTATAATAAAATTAAGTAGATTCAAAATTATTTTATCGAGTACATTGTTTTAGAATTTAAGTCATTTTAAGATAATGTTTATAATAATGCAAATTAATTCAATTTATTTAAAAGCGTTACAAATTGTTTTTACATTTAAAATTACTAGGATGGCAACTACTACTGCATGGTACTTTCATCTTTTTATATTTACAATGATTTTTGTCACATGAATTTTTGCAATTGCATTTAATATTGCCTATTTGTGACAAATATTGCATAATCGATGCCTCTTGAATGCTTACAGGTGTTGAAGGAATATTATCCAATTTGGGAAACTTGTCAGGACCCAAAGGGAGAAGTTCATTGGTGTTATATATAACTTTAATAACGCCAGACTTGCATCCAAGTTTATATGTGTCATTCTCTAAAACTTTAAGAATCTTGCAAGGCAATATCTTTTGATCATTGTGTGTTCTATTGATTTCTAGAATCTTAATATGCACCAAATCTTTGCCATTATATTTGTTTGCAAATTTCTTATTACACTTGTTAAGTTGTGACTTCAAATAATTTCAGTATCATTTGAGAGACTTTTAGCAACACTTTGATAAATTTTATGTGCCAATGTTTTTTGAACATTAGTCTTATGTTTAGGGCTATGTTTATCTAAAAAAGGTTTTAAAATAAAATAATTTAATGTATACTATTGTTATGTATTGAATAATATGTAATTACAAAATATTAGTGCTTGTAGTGGAAGCTGCCAAAACTTAAGGCTTATGCCTTTTACTTGGACGAGTTTCAAGATCATTTTTAAGCAAACTTCCATTAAATATTTCATTTTCTGATAATTCAATTAATTTGTATTCATTAGATATCTATTATAAAATTTTTAATATTAAAATTTTTTTATAAAAATATTGATATGACAGTAAATACTTAAATTTATTATTGTATTTTTCTTTTCATTTATCTTTTCGCTTAACCCCAGATCTAAACTTTCATTTACTTTTCATTCAACCCCTCATTCACCCTTTTGCTTAATCCTTCATTCAACCTTTTTTTCACTCAATCTTTTGTTTAACCTTTTATTTATCCTTTTACTTAACCTCTCATTAATCATATGATTCAAATTATTTCATCCACCATTTTGTCTAATTTTTCATTCACTATTTCTTTGTCCAACCTTTCATTTGCTAATTTATACTCAAGTGCTTGTTGTTCCTAAAAAAAATTATAATAAATAAATATTAAAAAAAAATTAAAACTAAAAAAAAATAAAAATAAAAAATAAAATTTAAAATTTAAAAAAATAAAAATAAATAAATTATCTCCAAGTTTAATACTGCATTATCTAAAAGAGACTCTACGGTTGATCTTTAGTATAGGTGGGCATATATAATTATTATACAATTATAATATAAATAACTTAACTATTTTGAACTAATTTAAGTAATTTTATAAATTATTAGGGTCAGTGATAAAGTTAGGGTTTAAATTGGCTCAAATTAGTTAGGTTTTATATATTATAATCTTGTAATATTTTATATATGCCCACCTATACTAAAGGAGATCCTACTCTACAATTTCTTGCTGATTAAAATTATCTCAAGGCTCAGATGGTTCAGACTAGTTTTCTGATAATTTGTCCTCTGAATTAATATGTTGATCTTTAATTTCTTTCAATAATGCAAAGTGATGAAAAGGGTTTTGCACAAATACTAATGCATATAGGCTATTTTTGGTTTGCTGTGATATTTGAATATTCATTGCATCTATTAAAAAATATAAATAAAGTAAATTTTTTAAAAAATAATAAATAATAAATTTACAACTACATAAGGGCACAGCACAAGACCAGTCTTTTTTTCTAGTATCTTCCATCTACTTAGAAACTTTTTGCTCAAGAATATTATTTGCATATTCTTCAAGTCTTTGACTTTGTGGATGTTTCAGACAGCCATTTATTATTTGAACATCAGGTCACATAATTAATAATTTGTGAATAATTTCTGCTATAAACTTATAATCATTGTCGCTTTAAAGAATAATAAGTATACTAAAGCAGACAAAAACATTAAAAAAAAAAGTGGCCAGCTCAATTGATCACTTGCTGGTTAAAGCTTAGGCTCAAGAATATCATGTAAAGTGGTAACACATGTAACAAATATAGTAATAGTTACCATTGGAAATACTAGTTATAGATATCAAGTCGATTTGAACTCTATTAAAAAAAGCACTAAAAACAATCAGCTTTGCAGCTACTGGATTAGAAAATTTTCTTTACATTGCACAATCATACAGTTTTTTACAAATTCTTTTATGAGGATTGTAGAATACAGTCTGCCCTCCATACAGTCACTCTCTATATAGTCACACCCTCTTTATAAGCACACTAATTTTTAGAACAAACGTATATAAAACATAGGAGATTTGACCTCTATACAAGCACAATTTCTTATAAGTACAGAATTTCTTGGAACCGAGGGCGTGACTGTAGAGAGGTTAGACTGTATAACTATATTGTTATAGAGTTTGTCGACTTAGTGAAGTTGGTAAGTTATTACGCTTCCAAGTAGCAAGACAAGAGTTCGAATCCCCACAGGCAATAAAATTCAAATTTAAGTAATGTGTTACAGCAGACTGTATGTAATCTAATAGATTATTGGATCTGTAGCTTAGGTTGTACCAGCTTGTACTGAAAGAATGTGAAACTATAGTGTGATGCAAAAGTTACACAAAACCCAAGTAAAACATTTTGTAAATCCAAAGGCTGGAATATACAGAATTTTGCTTAGCAAGTCCCAAATAGAGAGGTAGTACAAGTCTTCGACAGTACTATGTAAAGAATGATTATTGGTAATCAAACATCAGCAGTAAACTGGACAAGGATCAGATATTT